TACATGAACAACCTGCCCGTGGTACATGAACAACCTGCCCAGGGTACATGAACAACCTGCCCGTGGTACATGAACAACCTGCCCAGGGTACATAAACAACCTGCCCTGGGTACATGAACAACCTGCCCTGGGTACATGAACAACCTGCCCTGGGTACATGAACAACCTGCCCTGGGTACATGAACAACCAGCCCTGGGTACATGAACAACCTGCCCTGGGAACAACCCACTACCACAGGGGCCCAACAACCTACCCTGCAGGTCATGTCTCCACCTGACAGCAACCTAACCTAACCTTCTCATCAATAGCCATTATCCAAAAAAAAACATGTTCCAACCTGTCAAGAAATTGGGGTATAACCGCGATGGATATACTCTGCCAGTATCCCGAGTATAACCACGTCCCTCACCTATCATATAGGGTGGGGGGGGGGGGGAGGACTACCTACCAGTCTGACTGGGTATCGACCCCCCATGAATGGACTGACTGGAGGGGTGGACACCTCTACCCCAGCATACAGGAGTGTTGACCTTGGCGGCCAGTTACTTCATGAACATGTCCTGGGGTACAGTGACATGTCCTGGGGTACAGTGACATGTCCTGGGGTACAGTGACATGTCCTGGGGTACAGTGACATGCCCTGGGGTACGGTGACATGTCCTGGGGTACGGTGACATGCCCTGGGGTACAGTGACATGTCCTGGGGTACAGTGACATGCCCTGGGGTACAGTGACATGTCCTGGGGTACATGTGTACATGCCCTGGGGTACAGTGACATGTCCCGGGGTACGGTGACATGCCCTGGGTACGGTGACATGCCCTGGGGTACAGTGACATGCCCTGGGGTTACAGTGACATGTCCTGGGGTACGGTGACATGTCCGGTACAGTGACATGTCTGGGGTACGGTGACATGTCCTGGGGTACGGTGACATGTCCTGGGGTACGGTGACATGTCCTGGGGTACGGTGACATGTCCTGGGTACAGTGACATGTCCTGGGGTACAGTGACAGCCCTGGGGTAACAGTGACATGCCGGGGTACAGTGACATGTCTGGGGTACAGTGACATGTCCTGGGGTACAGTGACATGTCCTGGGGTACAGTGACATGCCCTGGGGTACAGTGACATATCCTGGGGTACAGTGACATGTCCTGGGGTACAGTGACATGTCCTGGGGTACGGTGACATGTCGTGGGGTACAGTGACATGCCTGGGGTCGGGGGCCTGGTAAGAGACCGGACCGCGAGGACACTGATCCCTGAAATCAAGACACTCAAGACATTATATATATATATATATATATATATATATATATATATATATATATATATATATATATATATATATATATATATATATATATTATTAAATATGACCGAAAAAGTAAGATTAATAATTCTAACACGAATTTTCTCAATCTTTCGTACATTACGCTTCACTGTTGGAGGTAAATCAAAAATCAATTCTCCAAAATTCATTTTTATTTCATCCAAAATGAATTTTGGAGAATTGATTTTTGATTTACCTCCAACAGTGAAGCGTAATGTACGAAAGATTGAGAAAATTCGTGTTAGAATTATTAATCTTACTTTTTCGGTCATATTTAATAATATATGTCTACAGGAAAGACTGCTACCAAAATATACTAATATATATATATATATATATATATATATATATATATATATATATATATATATATATATATATATATATATATAATATATGATGCTAGACGCAGTGTATGAAGCTAGACGCAGTAGACGCATGATTTGAGACGCACGACTCTAGACGCAGTGTGAGACGCATGAAGCTAGACGCAGTGTGAGACGCACGACTCTAGACGCAGTGTGAGACGCACGACTCTAGACGCAGTGTGAGACGCACGAAGCTAGACGCAGTGTGAGACGCTCGAAGCTAGACGCAGTGTGAGACGCACGACTCTAGACGCAGTGTGAGACGCATGAAGCTAGACGCAGTGTGAGACGCACGACTCTAGACGCAATGTGAGACGCATGAAGCTAGACGCAGTGTGAGACGCACGACGCTAGACGCAGTGTGAGACGCACGACGCAGTGTGAGACGCACGACGCTAGACGCAGTGAGACGCACAACGCTAGACGCAGTGTGACGCACAACGCTAGACGCAGTGTGAGACGCATGATGCTAGACGCAGTTTGAGACGCACGACGCTAGACGCAGTGTGAGACGCACGACGCTAGACGCAGTGTGAGACGCAGTAATCAGGAACGAGAGCGCTGCGAGCTCACTCACCCCCCCACCCCTGCCCCACCACACCCTCCCCCACCCCATACCCAAATGCCCAGGAACTCCCCCCCCCCTCCTCCCCTATTTGCCCCCCATACGATTTTGTCATTGGGTGAGTAGGTAATTTCTCCACGTGGCTGTGAGCGGTGGCGGGGTGGCGGAGCCTCGCTTCACCAGGCGGGGGGCATCGGCTCTACCTCAAGGTTCGGACAGGTGGCCGCATTACATGTACGCAGGCAAATACATATACACACGCACACATATAATATATATATATATATATATGTGGAGGAATCTGGCATGCGGGTGAAACTACAGTTTCGACTATTGGATATGTAGTGGCGGAGGTGGCTGGGAGTGAGCCTTACTGGTGGGTATTGGGGGGGGTCTTCTGCCCCCCCTCTCGCCGCCCCCCCCCCTGGTACTACTGCACTAGGGGGGGGGGCATGCTTGGCAGGGTTGTCAGGAAGGTGTGTGTGTGTGTGTGTGAGGATGTTGGTGTGACAGAGTTGGCAACACTGGTTTACTCTTGGTCGCTAACATGAAAACTTCTCAAAATTGGAATACATTTTTTTACGGGCCTCGCGGCTGAGTGGATAGCGCTCGGGGGTCGTAGTCCCAAGGGCCCCCACTAGTTCCATTACCCTACCGAGGCAGAAGCAATTGGGCAGTTTCTTTCACCCTGATGCAAAGAGAGAGAGAAAGGGAGTGTGAGTCTTGTGTACTATATAGCAGCAGTAGTGTTGATCTACCAGGCTGGTCCTGCCAGCAGTCACATGCTTGTCTCAAACATTAAGCCAGGCATGATCATGTACAAGCACAGTTAAGGCAAAACCGCGAATGGATCATTAAATCAACAATGTTTCATTGGGTCAGTAAACACTTACTTGGATAACTATGACAATTCACGTAATAATCCACCTGTGGTTCACTTAGCAGTAAATAGGTACCTGAGAGTTAGACAACTGCTACGGACTGTTTCCTGGGGGGGGGGGGTGTTAGATAGAAATATATGTAGTAGACATTAGAGAGGAAAAATAGATCTATTAGAAAGTTAAGTACCAGATACTTGGCTGCCAATATGGATAACTAGGTATAGGGCTCACACGCCGGTCTGTACGGACCCGGGGCAGTACTGGAGGGCAGCGTGGTCCAGCACCCGGGGCAGTACTGGAGGGCAGCGTGGTCCAGCACCCTGGGGCAGTACTGGAGGGCAGCGTGGTCCAGCACCCTGGGGCAGTACTGGAGGGCAGCGTGGTCCAGCACCCTGGGGCAGTACTGGAGGGCAGCGTGGTCCAGCACCCTGGGGCAGTACTGGAGGGCAGCGTGGTCCAGCACCCTGGGGCAGTACTGGAGGGCAGCGTGGTCCAGCACCCTGGGGCAGTACTGGAGGGCAGCGTGGTCCAGCACCCTGGGGCAGTACTGGAGGGCACCGTGGTCCAGCACCCTGGGGCAGTACTGGAGGGCAGCGTGGTCCAGCACCATGGGGCAGTACTGGAGGGCAGCGTGGTCCAGCACCATGGGGCAGTACTGGAGGGCAGCGTACTGGGCTTGCAGCTCACCATGGGGCTTGTAGCTCACTCTGGACTTGTAGCTCACTCTGGGGCGTGTAGCTCACTCTGGACTTGTAGCTCACTCTGGGGCGTGTAGCTCACCCTGGGGCTTGCAGCTCACCCTGGGGCTTGTAGCTCACCCTGGACTTGCAGCTCACCCTGGGGCTTGTAGCTCACCCTGGGGCTTGCAGCTCACCCTGGGGCTTGCAGCTCACCCTGGGGCTTGTAGCTCACCCTGGGGCTTGTAGCTCACCCTGGACTTGCAGCTCACCCTGGGGCTTGCAGCTCACCCTGGGGCTTGTAGCTCACCCTGGACTTGCAGCTCACCCTGGGCTTGTAGCTCACCCTGGGGCTTGCAGCTCACCCTGGGCTTGTAGCTCACCCTGGGGCTTGTAGCTCACCCTGGACTTGCAGCTCACCCAGGGGCTTGCAGCTCACCCTGGGGCTTGTAGCTCACCCTGGACTTGCAGCTCACCCTGGGGCTTGTAGCTCACCCTGGGGCTTGCAGCTCACCCTGGGGCTTGTAGCTCACCCTGGGGCTTGTAGCTCACCCTGGACTTGCAGCTCACCCTGGGGCTTGCAGCTCACCCTGGGGCTTGTAGCTCACCCTGGACTTGCAGCTCACCCTGGGGCTTGTAGCTCACCCTGGGGCTTGTAGCTCACCCTGGGGCTTGCAGCTCACCCTGGGGCTTGCAGCTCCCCTGTGTTCCAGAGGTGACATGGTCGACGCCTCCTCCTCCTCCCTGGCGCTGCTGCTCCTGAAGACGCAGGAGGAGGAGGAAGAGGAGGAGGAAGAGGAGGAGGAGGTCGATAGAGCAACACATCCTCGTGCTTATCGATTTAGGAGCAGCGCCATGCAAGCCTGTCAAGCGAGGACGTGGCAAGCCTGTCAAGCGAGGACGTGGCAAGCCTGTCAAGCGAGGACGTGGCAAGCCTGTCAGGCGAGGACGTGGCAAGCCTGTCAGGCGAGGACGTGGCAAGCCTGTCAGGCGAGGACGTGACAAGCCTGTCAGGCGAGGACGTGGCAAGCCTGTCAGGCGAGGACGTGGCAAGCCTGTCAAGCGAGGACGTGGCAAGCCTGTCAAGCGAGGACGTGACAAGCCTGTCAGGCGAAGACGTGGCAAGCCTGTCAGACGAGGACGTGGCAAGCCTGTCAAGGGAGGACGTGGCAAGCCTGTCAGACGAGGACGTGGCAAGCCTGTCAGACGAGGACGTGGCAAGCCTGTCAGGCGAGGACGTGGCAAGCCTGTCAGGCGAGGACGTGGCAAGCCTGTCAGGCGAGGACGTGGCAAGCCTGTCAGGCGAGGACGTGGCAAGCCTGTCAGGCGAGGACGTGACAAGCCTGTCAGGCGAGGACGTGGCAAGCCTGTCAGGCGAGGACGTGGCAAGCCTGTCAAGCGAGGACGTGCCAAGCCTGTCAAGCGAGGACGTGACAAGCCTGTCAGGCGAAGACGTGGCAAGCCTGTCAGACGAGGACGTGGCAAGCCTGTCAAGGGAGGACGTGGCAAGCCTGTCAGACGAGGACGTGGCAAGCCTGTCAGACGAGGACGTGGCAAGCCTGTCAGGCGAGGACGTGGCAAGCCTGTCAGGCGAGGACGTGGCAAGCCTGTCAGGCGAGGACGTGGCAAGCCTATCAGGCGAGGACGTGGCAAGCCTGTCAGGCGAGGTCGTGACAAGCCTGTCAGGCGAGGACGTGGCAAGCCTGTCAGACGAGGACGTGGCAAGCCTGTCAAGGGAGGACGTGGCAAGCCTGTCAGGCGAAGACGTGGCAAGCCTGTCAGACGAAGACGTGGCAAGCCTGTCAGGCGAGGACGTGGCAAGCCTGTCAGGCGAGGACGTGGCAAGCCTGTCAGGCGAGGACGTGGCAAGCCTGTCAGGCGAGGACGTGGCAAGCCTGTCAGGCGAGGACGTGGCAAGCCTGTCAGGCGAGGACGTGGCAAGCCTGTCAGACGAGGACGTGGCAAGCCTGTCAGACGAGGACGTGGCAAGCCTGTCAGACGAGGACGTGGCAAGCCTGTCAGACGAGGACGTGGCAAGCCTGTCAGGCGAGGACGTGGCAAGCCTGTCAGGCGAGGACGTGGCAAGCCTGTCAGGCGAGGACGTGGCAAGCCTGTCAGGCGAGGACGTGGCAAGCCTGTCAGACGAGGACGTGGCAAGCCTGTCAGACGAGGACGTGGCAAGCCTGTCAGGCGAGGACGTGGCAAGCCTGTCAGGCGAGGACGTGGCAAGCCTATCAGGCGAGGACGTGGCAAGCCTGTCAGGCGAGGTCGTGACAAGCCTGTCAGGCGAGGACGTGGCAAGCCTGTCAGACGAGGACGTGGCAAGCCTGTCAAGGGAGGACGTGGCAAGCCTGTCAGGCGAAGACGTGGCAAGCCTGTCAGACGAAGACGTGGCAAGCCTGTCAGGCGAGGACGTGGCAAGCCTGTCAGGCGAGGACGTGGCAAGCCTGTCAGGCGAGGACGTGGCAAGCCTGTCAGGCGAGGACGTGGCAAGCCTGTCAGGCGAGGACGTGGCAAGCCTGTCAGGCGAGGACGTGGCAAGCCTGTCAGACGAGGACGTGGCAAGCCTGTCAGACGAGGACGTGGCAAGCCTGTCAGACGAGGACGTGGCAAGCCTGTCAGACGAGGACGTGGCAAGCCTGTCAGGCGAGGACGTGGCAAGCCTGTCAGACGAGGACGTGACAAGCCTGTCAGGCGAGGACGTGGCAAGCCTGTCAGACGAGGACGTGGCAAGCCTGTCAGACGAGGACGTGGCAAGCCTGTCAGGCGAGGACGTGGCAAGCCTGTCAGGCGAGGACGTGGCAGTCCCAGCTCTCCACATATGTCAGTTGCTTAATTTAGAACCTGTACTTGTGGTCGATCTCGAACCCATTGTTGATGTGATGACTTATATTGAATTTTGTAACTAGCTCATCAAGATTGTAACTTGCTTAGCTAAATGAATTGTGGGGTTCAGTCCCTGAGCCCATTATGTGCCTCTGTAACCCTTTCCACTACCGCCCACAAGATGGGTATGGGGTGCATAATAAATGAACTAAACTAACTACTCCCAGCTCACCTCTCACATCGACCGTGGGAGCAGTCACTCACAGGGCTTTGAAAAACGCTAAAAACAATTATGTAATACACCCATTTCAAGCAATTCAATAATACATTTTATTAAAAATATATTAATAATTTACAGCATACCAATATATATATATGTATATATATATATATGTATATATATATATATATATATATATATATATATATATTTATATATATATATATAATAATAATAATAATAAAATAATTGTTTCTTTGAAGCCAGTGTGGCATAAAAGACCAGACTATACAACTCAAATATTCACTCAAGACTCAACCTTGCTTTAACTACTAATACACTCGTCCATTTAGATAATTATTAAGTTAATATATTCAGCTTTTAATTATATAATAATCTTCAAGTACAGTTCATATGAGCAGGGGAAGGGGGGAATGATGAATTAAAGTAAATAACAGAATAGAATGGAACTCTTTTGAACTCTAACATGTAGCAGTCATTAATTACTATGTCATTACACACAATCGTATTGAAGGGACACACAGGGAATTCTTCCAGTCACTTCCAGCTCTGCTGTAACTAAAAAATAATTCCAACACTAGACAAAAACTCAGCCTCTGCACATCAATAATATAAATTATACATACTGGCTCTCTGGCACTATTCATGCAGAATTTTATAACTACTAATTCTTAACTAATTACTTAGTGTCCTCGCGGCCCGGTCCTCGACCAGGCCTCCACCCGCAGGAAGCAGCCCGTAGCAGCTGTCTAACTCCCAGGTACCTACCTATTTACTGCTAGGTAACAGGGGCATCAGGGTGAAATAAGCATTTTTGCCCATTTGTCTCCGCCTCCACCGGGGATCGAACCCGGAACCTCAGGACTACGAATCCGAAGCACTGCCCACCCAGCTGTCAGGCACCCCAAATCGAAAATCAGAAATCAGAAACACATGACAGAGTGAGCTTATAAATATCCAAATTACCCACCACAGAACTGACGAAAAGACTTCGATATCTCCATTTTATTGACATAAAACCAAGCTACCATCTACTTGACAGTGACACAATCATTTTATTGACATAAAACCAAGCTACCATCTACTTGACAGTGACACAATCATTTTATTGACATAAAACCAAGCTACTATCTACTTGACAGTGACACAATCCTTTTATTGACATAAAACCAAGCTACCATCTACTTGACAGTGACACAATCATTTTATTGATATAAAACCAAGCTACACAATACAAGTCAACATCTCAACCCCCCAGAAGTATCCTCCATTTACCAACTAATCAATAATATTTATCCGTGTAGACTGATAACCTCTTGACAATGTCTCGTCCGAGTCACTTCTGGGGGGGAGGAAGATGTTTCCGAAATGCACTCTGGAAAATTGCTGGAATACCGGAACGAAAGTGACTGGAATTGACACCAATAAAATAAAAAACAGTTGCTGATATCTTTGAGTCTGTTTGGAGCACTTGAGAGAGTAGGAGACTAGGAGACTCACAGCACATTTACGAGTTATAATGCTGAGAGCAACATGAAGATGTGCTCCAGCAACATATCTAAGATACATGAGGGTCACGAAAGAATTGATGACTTAATATTTCGAGAAACCTTTCTAATGTTTCTCAGAATTCATCGTCTGTCAGTGTTAACACCGAACTGGAATGAATTCAAATGTAAAATAATTGAGTTACAACGTGATTCTGTTTTGAGGTAAATGCTTTGTAACGTGTTAGTTTTGACACATTATTCCAACATTAATATGTACACGTTTGCAAACATTCACAAATCTGGGCATCGTTCTGAACCGACTGTTGCACACCAGAATATAATACTCAAGGTTGATGTAGTTCAGTCATTTACTTCACACTGAACTAAAGCGGTTTCTGTTAATCAGAAGTTACAAAGTTTCTGTTAATCAGAAGTTACAAAGTTTCTGTTAATCAGAAGTTACAAAGTTTCTGTTAATCAGAAGTTACAAAGCCTCTCTCCTCGTGTTCAAAAAGACACTAACTGGGGGACACTCCACCCATTTCTCCCCCACAACGTATCACCCTCAAGTAACCATCCACTTTTACTACTGTTCAATAAACCCCTGAACTATATGTTTAACACATCTCTCACCCTGTCCATGGAGGACAGAAGAAAATGTATATATGCTGGTTAGCATTGTAACTGTGTGGCCACGTCTGTGGTAGAAAATAATAATAATAAAAAAAACTCTTACTCCTTTCTGACCCCCGCCCCCCCCCCCCCGGCCACAAATAAAAAGCGAACAATTACTTTCATTCTTAGTATCAGATAGGATAACCTTCTCACAGTCTGCCAGCAACAGTTGAGATAAAGATCTCCTGTCGTCCACTCAGCATCAATTAGAGCAAGCATCCAGTCTCATGTTGTAAGGCTCCTTCTAAACCCTCTTCCTCCTCCTGCTCCTGCAGCAGCCCCAACCAGGGCAGCCATCTACCTCACTCTTGGCGTCGTTTAGGACCACCACACTCGGCGTTTATCCTCACCAGCACCGCACCACTTCCAAGCCTGGCGTGAAGCAGAGTGGCTATTACAGCGCCAACCTGCCCTTTCTCGCCCTTCAAAGACCACTACTGCGGACGAGAGTTCATGAAGTTTTTCTAATTAGAGAACTTGTGGGAGGAGCTTCAAGAGATGTGGAGTAGCGGCAAGTTTATGTCCTTGTATGACGGTGTTGCCTATGGTATTATTCCCAGTATTATCAGTATTATTATCAGTATTATTAATGGCGCTGCTGCCGCTACCGTTTCCAACAAATGAGTTGGCCAATAAGAGCGTGTTCTGAGGTAAACAAGCTGAGTGAAGCCTAAAGTGAGCTATGGGAGGAGTCTCTTACAACCTGCAAACAAGAGTCGGAACACTTCTGCTCACTGCTCCATTTTTTAAGTGTTAAAACAAAAAAGGAAGAATTAGTATTAAGTGATCTTGACGCCGAAGACTATGAATATATTACTCTAAATGGCACGTGTGGTGCTGTGCTTGGAGGGATGGGGGAGGAAGAGATCGGTGGTGATATGCTGTGCTTGCTGCGAGTCAGAGGAAAAGATGCTGTTCTTGGTGGGATGGAGATGGAAAGATGATGTGCCTGATAGGATGAAAGGGAATGATGCTGTGCTGGGACGGACTGAAAAGGACGGACTCCATCCCACCTGTACCTGGTGGGATGGAAAGCGAAAGATACTGTGCTAGTAGGGATGGAATGGGAGAGATGTTGTGTTTGGTGGATTAGAGAGGGAGAGATGCTATGCTTTGTGGGATAGAAAGGGAGGGTAAAGGATACCGTTCCTGGTGAGATGAAGTGGAAGAAATGCTGTGCTTGGTGGGATGGAGAGGCAGAGATGCTGTGCTTCTTGGGATGGGAGAGATGATATGTTTAGTGACATGGAAACAGAGATGCTGTGCTTCTTGGGATGGGAGAGATGATATGTTTAGTGACATGGAAACAGAGATGCTGTGCTTGTTGAGATGGAGAGCGAGAGATGTTGTGCTTGGTGGAATGTAAAGATGCTGTGCATGGCGAGATGTACCGTAATGGTATATAATGTGGCACCCTTAACGTACCGTCTACGGCTGTTTCATCCATTATCGTAATGAGGTATAATGTAAACAGCGATTATAGACGGTTGACTACAAGATCCCCTGGAAACACAAACCGAAACTCTCTCTATTTTCCGCTTGTTACAACTTGTAATAAAGTTGTTACATCTTGGCTTAACGTGTTTATGACGCATTAGAACGTTGTTACAACTTGCTATATTGGTTGTTATAACTGGTTAGGAGGTGTTAAGTATGGGGGGGTAGAAATAGCCTAAGCTACTCTATCCCTTTGAGATGTATTTATTGCCTATCTCAATAAACATACTTGAACTTGAAGGAGGTGTTAAAACTTGTTCGAACGTTGTACCAAAGTCGTAGTTTCCGGTGTGTGTTTGGCGGGTATATCCGCCCACTTAGTGAGGAGAAGACCCACGCAGTTAACATATAGCGAGGGCGCGAGGGCGAGGGCGCGAGGGCGCAAGGGCGAGGGCGCGAGGGCGAGGGCGCGAGGGTGAGGGCGCGAGGGCGAGGGCGAGGGAGCGAGGGCGAGGGCGCGAGGGTGAGGGCGCGAGGGCGAGGGCGCGAGGGCGCGAGGGCGCGAGGGGGAGGGCGCGAGGGCGCGAGGGCGCGAGGGCGAGGGCTTAGTCAGCCCAGGAGGAGGTGAGCACTCCGACGTGGTGTCGTCAGGTAGGAAGAGCCTGCTGACGGTGCGCGCATGATTGAACGGTCGGTCCATCGCTCCTACTCAACACACTGTCATCTTGAGATGAGATGATGATTTGATTGAGATGATTTCGGGGCTTAGCGTCCTCGCGGCCCGGTCCTTGACCAGGCCTCCTGGTCATGAACGAAAGAGCATGTTTAGTAGCCTAACCGTCGGGGTTTGTTATTAAGGGAAATTATGTATAAGTTTCACTCGCGCGTTCCGGATTAGGGATTTGGTTAGCCTAAGCTAGGTTAGGTTAGGGTTACACATGGGTATAACAAAGGCGTATTCTAATGAGGTGTTAAATGTACCAACACAAGATAGCGCACGAAATGATGGATATAAATTGGGTATGTTTAGATTCAGGAAGACCTGGGTAAATATTGGGTTAGAAGTAGCCCCTGACAACGATACTAGATCACTAGCAGCTGCCTGGCCTGACACATGCTACCTTACCTTGAGGCTACCTTGAGGTGCTTCCGGGGCTTAGTGTCCCCGCGGCCCGGTCGTCGACCAGGCCTCCTGGTTGCTGGACTGATCAACCAGGCTGTTAGACGCGGCTGCTCGCAGCCTGACGTATGAGTCACAGCCTGGTTGATCAGGTATCCTTTGGATATCAGGTATCAGGTATCAGGTATCCTTTGCTAGCTAACGCTACAAGTAATGCGATAAACCACTCGGTACATAGTGTTCAAAGTCAACACCCGCCAAACACACACACCGAAACTCCGACGTTGGTACAGGTTCGAACAAGTTTTAACAGTCTCCGTGGTGTAGTGGTAAGACACTCGCCTGGCGTTCCGCGAGCGCTATGTCATGGGTTCGTATCCTGGCCGGGGAGGATTTACTGGGCGCAATTCCTTAACTGTAGCCTCTGTTTAACTCAACAGTAAAATGTGTACTTGGTTGTAACAACGATTCTTCGCGGCCGGGGATCGTATTCCAGGGACCTGCCCGAAACGCTACGCGTACTAGTGGCTGTACAAGAATGTAACAACTCTTGTATATATCTCTCTCTCACCACCTAACCAGTTATAACAACCAATATAGCAAGTTGTAACGACGTTCTAATACGTCATAAACACGTTAAGCCAAGATGTAACAACTTTATTACAAGTTGTAACATGCGGAAAATTAGAGACAGTTTCGGGTTGTGATTCTAGGGCCGGCACAGCCCACCATGCAACTCGCATTACTAACGCCAATCTATGAACGCACCAAGATGCTTCACCAGCCATAATATCCTTCTTATCGGATAAAAAAAAAACACACAGGTAATACTGACCTTGATCTTCACCACCTCGCAAAAACAAAAGAACGTCCATGTCAGTCGACAGGTTGCAAATTCAGGATCAAGATATATTTTGCATTAAGGGTAAACCCATGCGCAGTCAGTCAATGCATGCAACAATGGGAGCAAGAAATACTAAGTACCGACCCTCGTACACGCTCACAAGGTGCTTGTTGGGTTATAAATAGCCAGTTCCAGGCCTCGGGACGTTTCAACTACACGCCGTCTCACGCTACCGCATTCAGGCAACTCTTAACAAAATCACCCTTTTGGTGTGGACAAGTACAAACAAACAAACAAGTGCAAGGCTTTTTTTATCTCTTGTTTTTTTTTGTTTTGGCTTCAAAAGGTTTATTGGTGTTTTATGTTGTATAGTTAGTGTATGTGCGCGTGTGTGTGTGTGTGTGTGTGTGTGTGTGTGTGTGTGTGTGTGTGTGTGTGTGTGTGTGTGTGTGTGTGTGTGTGTGTGTGTGTGTGTGTGTGTGTGTCTGTGTGTGTGCTGGTGAAGCTGTTTACAGGAATGTCTAGTTTTTATGAGAGTTTTTATATCTGTACTTGTTCCCGTGTGACCGATGATCTGACCTGGATATCTGTCTCTCTGTCTGTCTCTCTCTCTCTCTCTCTCTCTCTCTCTCTGTCTCTCTGTCTCTCTGTCTCTCTCTCTCTCTCTCTCTCTGTCTCTCTGTCTCTCTCTGTCTCTCTCTGTCTCTCTCTGTCTCTCTCTGTCTCTCTCTCCCTCTCTCTCTCTGTCTCTGTCTCTGTCTCTCTCTCTCTCTCTCTCTGTCTCTCTCTCTCTCTCTCTCTCTCTCTCTCTCTCTCTCTCTCTCTCTCTCTCTCTCCCTCTCTCAAATAAGAATAGGATCATGAAGAATGGTCAAGATGTTCGTAATAAAACAGAAAGCTTAGACTTGTTATCATAAATCATCCCACTTGACAACTGACCTTAGTATCTGACATAATGTAATTACTATAAGCTTCTAATTAAAAATACACTTTAATTCTAAGTTACACTCATGTTAGGTACAAGATGAGACTGGAACCAACTGTGTGTCAGAGACTTCACATGGTCCGTTGCTGGATTTCACTTGTAAATAGACGTTGAAAGAACATGTTGCAACTGTAAGTCGGCCTAGGCATGTAGGCTCGCTGATGGAGTGATGTTCTTGAGAATGGCACAACCAAAATGAGGCTGTTGATGGCTGAGCGTCTTGTGTTGCGACTGCCAACGCCTGGTTGTCCACAAAGTTTGGCCAGATGGAGAACGTTCAGAACATTGGCCTCATGCATAATAGCAAGGGCACAGGCTTCGTTTTCATCAGTGCTGAAGGCTTGGGATGTACCACCGGCTCAGCGAACACCAGCTAAAATTAGAGTCCCGTCACACAGTTCTCTAACTTGTAGAGAATTGTGATAAATGCTGGGCGGACGACGGGTCGTGGCCACCCAAGAGAGCTGTGCATACTCAACATGCAAGCCTACTTCTGCTTCATATAATATGTTGCAAGCCTTGACGCCGAGCAGGAACGAGATGCACTTTTGCTCACTCAAGTTCTTGGCTGCCGAGGTTAATACGTTCAGTACGTTACCTTACCTTGCGTTGATTCTGGGGGTCAAGGTCCCCGCGGCCCGGTCTCTGACCAGGGGCTCATCGTTGCTGAACTGGGCAACCAGGTTGTTGGACGCGGCTGATCGCAGCCTGACGTATTAATTACAGCCTGGTTGATCAGGTAGCCTTTGGAAGTGTTTATCAAGTTCTCTCTTGAACACTGTGAGGGGTCGGCCAGTTATGCCCCTTATGTGTAGTGGAAGCGTATTGAACAGTCTCGGGCCTCTGATATTGATAGTTCTCTCTCAGAGTACCTATTGCACCTCTGCTTTTCAAAGGGTTATTCTGCACATCCTGCCATGCATTCTGGTCTCATGTGATGTTATTTCTGTGTGCAGGTTTGGGACCAGCCCCTTTATTATTTTATACATGTAAATTATTATGCATCTCTCCCGCTTGCGCTCTAGAGAATATAGATTTAGACATTTTAGTCGGTCCCAGTAATGTAGATGGTTGGGTGGATTCTAGCAGTAAAGGATCTCTGCACGCTCTCCAGGTCAGCAATTTCTCCAGCTTTGAAAGGGGCTGTCATTGTGTAACAGTACTTCCCTCTAGAGAGCACAAGCGTTTTGAAAAATATCATCACTGGTATAGCATCTCTTCTTTGAAAGGTTCTTGTTATCCAACCTGTCATTTTTCTTGCAGTTGTGACCGCTATTTTATTGTGTTCTTTAAAGGTAAGTTCTTCCGACATGAGTACACCCAGGTCCTGTACAGGGCTTTTTACCTTTTATTGTATGATTCGACTGCGTTTTGTAGGTAGTTTCTCTTATTATATTTTCCTTTTTCCCATAGAGCGGGAGCTGGAACTTATATTCAGTAAATAATAATAATTTATTGTGTCGGGGGACAGACAGCCAGTGTTTATGCATGTTAGGCTCTTATCGAAGCCCCCTCCGCCCCCCCTCCCCTCCACAATGTCGAATTACAGACTCCAGAA